GGCGATCAGGCCTGCAGGGGAGGGCAGTTGGGGGTGATCAGGCCTGCAGGGGAGGGTAGTTAGGGGCGACCAGGCCTGCATGGGAGGGCAGTTAGGGGCGACCAGGCCTGCATAGGAGGGCAGTTGGAGGCAATCAAGACTGCAGGGGAGGGCAGTTGTGGGGTGACCAGGCCAGCAGGGGAGGGCAGTTGTGGGGTGACCAGGCTTGATTGCAATTAACAAAATCAAGGGGAGGGCAGTTAGGGGTGAGCAGGCCTGCAGGGGAGGGCAGTTAGGGGCAATCAGGCCCGCAGGGGAAGGCAGTTAGGGGCAATCAGGCCTGCAGGGAAGGGCAATTAGAGGCGATCAGGCCTGCAGGGGAGGGCAGTTGGGGGCGACCAGGCCTGCAGGGCAGGGCAGTTGGGGGCGACCAGGCCTGCAGGGGAGGGCAGTTGGGAGAAACCAGGCCTGCAGGGGAGGGCAGTTGGGGGTGACAAGGCCTGCAGGGGAGGGCAGTTGGAGGCAATCAAGCCTGCAGGGGAGGGCAGTTGTGTAGTGACCAGGCCAGCAGGGGCGGGCAGTTGGGAGGGACCAGGCTTGATTGCAATTAACAAAATTAAGGGGAGGGCAGTTAGGGGTGAGCAGGCCTGCAGGGGAAGGCAGTTGGGGGTGACCAGGCCTGCAGGGGAAGGAGGTTAGTGGCGACCAGGCCTGCAGGGGAGGGCAGTTGGGGGCGACCAGGCCTGCAGGGGAGGGCAGTTGGGGGCGACCAGGCCTGCAGGGGAGGGCACTTGGGGGTGACCAGGCCTGCAGGGGAGGACAGTTGTTGGCGATCAAGCCTGAAGGGGAGGGCAATTGTGGGGTAATCAGGCCGGCAGGGGAGGGCAGTTAGGGGCGACCAGGCCTGCAGGGGAGGGCAGTTGGGGGTGACCAGGCCTGCAGGGGAGGGCAGTTGGAGGCAATCAAGCCTGCAGGGGAGGGCAGTTGTGGGGTGACCAGGCCTGCAGGGGAGGGTAGTTGGGAGGGACCAGGCTTGGTTGCAATTAATAAAATTAAGGGGAGGGCACTTGGGGGGCACTAGGCCTGCAGGGGAGGGCAGTTGGGGGTGACCAGGCTGCAGGGGAGGGCAGTTGGGGGTCAGGGGCACAGGCCCGGGATTCTCTCTCCTCGTAGATGTTTCTCTCTCTCACTCCCTCTCCCTTCTGACCACCAGTGGGCAGGTAGTCCACCGGTTGACCAGCCGCTATGCTGTGCCCTCATCACCAGGGGGCAGACGCTGCAATCCGTCATAAAAATTATTTTTTAAAATATATCTTATTGATTTTTTTACAGAGAGGAAGGGAGAGGGACAGAGAGCTAGAAACATCCATAAGAGAGAAGCATCTACCAGCTGCCTCCTGCACGCCCCCCACTGGGGATGTGCCCACCTCCAAAGCCCATGCCCTTGACCAGGAATCGAACCTGGGACCCCCATCCCACAGGCCGACATTCCATCCATTGAGCCAAATCGCTTATGGCAATAATAAAAATTAGTTTAGCCAAAACCAGTTTGGCTCAGTGGATAGAGCGTCAGCTTGTGGACTGAAAGGTCCCGGGTTCGATTCCAGTCAATGGCATGGGCCTTGGTGGCAGGCACATCCCCAGTGGGGGGCGCGCAGGAGGCGGCTGGTCGATGATTCTCTCTCACCGATGTTTCTAACTCTCTGCCCCTCTCCCTTCCTCTCTGTGAAAAAATCAATAAAATATATTTTTAAAAATTTTATTTTAAAAAATAAAAAGATCTCGGTTAATGTCACATTTGCATAGCTGCCCCCATTGCATCCTATTTTGAGATGTTTTTGTTGTTGTTGTTGTTGTTTAATATATATTATTGATTTTTTACAGAGAGGAAGAGAGAGAGATAGAGAGTTAGAAACATTGATGAGAGAGAATCATCGACCAGCCGCCTCCTGCACGCCCCCCACCGGGGATGTGCCCGCCACCAAGGTCCATGCCCTTGACCGGGAATCGAACCCGGGACCCTTCCGTCTGCAGGCCGACGCTCTACCCACTGAGCCACCCCGGTTTCGGCTATTTTGAGGTTTTTATTGTGCCTCGGGGGGACATGCAGGGAGGGAGAGATAACAACGCTGTCTTGTCTGCTTCTTTCCTAAATGAACCATCCTCGGGCAGGTGGCTTGCAAATGCACGTGTCTCTGGGATGCATTCATGTCTGTCCCAGGAAGGGACTCTGTGTGTGTGTGTCTCTCTCTCTCCCTCACCCCGTGCCCTCAATTTAGCTCAAACCCCATGACTCCCGTGTGGCGAGCAAACACCGTTTAACTGGGACGATTCCTCCCCGCCACCGCTGGCAGCCGCTGTGGGCGGGCAGAGTTCACACCCAGAGCGAGGCCTGGCAGAGCAACAATGCTTCATGCCTGTTTACGTGTTTTGGGGTCATGTATGTGGATGTCAGAGAGGAAGGGAAAGGGAGAGAGAGAGAGAGAGACAGAGAGAGAGAGAGAAGCATCCACGAGGAGAGAGACTCATGGAGGGGCTGCCTCCTGCACACCCTCCAGTGGGGACGGAGCCCGCTACCAGGGCCTGTGCCCTTGACCTGGAGTTGAACCCGGGACCCTTTGGTCCGCAGGCTGAGGCACTATCCACTGAGCCACACCAGCTAGGACTGTGCTTACTTTTAAACCAAATGTAGTTTTATTGATTTCAGAGGGAAAGAGAGAGGGAGAGAGAGAGAGAGAGAGAGAGAGAGAGAGAGAGAGAGAGAGAGAATATATCATGGACCGTCTGCCTCCTATACATACTGTACATGGGATGCAGCCTGCAACCCGGGCCTGTGCCCTTGACTGGGAATCGAACCCGGGACTCTTCCGTCCGCAGGCCGACGCTCTACCCACTGAGCCACGCCGGTCTCGGCGGTGCCTGGATTCTCACTCATATGGTTCTGGCTGACAGACAGGCAAACCACACACGGAGCGGCCAGATGGTGATAATCTCTGAGCACATAATCATCTGGCCACTCTGTGTGTGTATAAATATATATATAATATATCAGAGGCCCGGTGCCTGAATCCGTGCCTGGGCGGGGTCCGGCCGGCCTGGCCAGGGGGAGGGGACGTGGGCGGTCGGCCGGCCTGCCTGCTGGTCGGACTCCCGGTCGAGGGGACCATGTGCCTATGAGCCTTTTATCCTACAGGATGGACACGGGGCGGCCGGACGGTTATGTGTTCAGAGATCACCCTCCTCTGGCCACTTAGTAGAGATATTGATGATAGATAGATAGATAGATAGATAGATAGATAGATAATAGATAGATGATAGATAGATAGATAGATAGATAGATAGATAGATAGATAGATAGATATAAATAATAGATAGATAATAGATATATGGATGGATGGATGAATAGGTAGGTAGGTAGGTAGGTAGGTAGATAGATAGATAAATGCGATATAGATAGATACATAGATAGATAGATAGATAGATAGATAGACAGATAGATAGATGAGAGGCCCGGTGCATGAATCCGTGCCTGGGTGGGGTCCAGCCAGCCTGGCCAGGGGCCGGGGACGTAAGGGTCCCGGGTTCGACCCGGGGCGGCCGGACGGCTCTGTGTCCAGAGATCACCCTCCTCCGGCCGCTCCGGGTACAGTTTGCAAACACAATGCCCACCCCCTCACTTTGCCAGAATCCCCGTCTCCGCAGCCCCCCGTGGCGCTTAATCTGATTTATTTCCAGAAGCTCTCTCGCACGATGGCATGGTCGCACTGCGCTCTCCTTACTTCTCCTCTCAGCGGGAGTGATTATATTTCACCCAGTTTCAGGCCGATGGACCATCTCGGGCAAAAATAATTCCTGCCTGAAGAAACACAACTGATTTTTCTATGGCCGTAGCCACGTCTGACGGCGGGCTGTTAGCAGAGCGATAAATAAGTAAAAGTTCCTTTGCCGTGTGTGTGCGTGTGTGTGTGTGTGTGTGTGCGTGTGTGTGTGTGTGTTAGCGTGCGCATGCCACCTCCGAGAATCTGAAACGCTGGGAGTCACCCCATGTTAGACACGGTCATCGCTGGATTTCCTAAGCCAGAACGCATTCTTTCTTTTAATATATATATTGATTGATTGATTTTTTTCACCGAGAGGAAGGGAGAGGGATAGAGAGCTAGAAACGTCGATGAGAGAGAAACATCGGCCAGCTGCCTCCTGCACGCCCCCCACTGGGGATGTGCCCGCCACCAAGGTCCATGCCCTTGACCGGAATCGAACCCGGGACCTCTCAGTTTGCAGACCGACGCTCTATCCACTGAGCCACACCGGTTAAGGCCCGGAACGCATTCTTATCTCTCAGCCGTGGTGCAGACTTTCAGAGGCGGCAGCCGATGTCGCTTTAAATACATAAATCGTATCTATATCTGTATCTATATATCTATATATCTATATTTATATCTATATCCATATCTACCTATATACACCCAGCGGCCGGAGGAGGGGGGTCTCTGGATGCAGAACCGTCCGGCCGCCCCGGGTCCGTCCTGTAGGATAAAAGGCGAATGACAGGCACAGGGTCCCCTCGACCGGGAGTCCGACCAGCAGGCAGGCCGGCCGGCCGCCCACGTCCCCGCCCCCTGGCCAGGCCGGCCGGATCCCACCCAACTTAGGGCTGAATTACAGCAGTCATCGTTCACATAAAATAATAGGACATTTTAACAAAACGAATGCTTCTTTCTTTGTTTGAAAATATATATTTTATTGATTTTTTTTTTTTTTACAGAGAGGAAGGGAGAGGGATACAGAGCCAGAGACATCTATGATGAGAAACATCGATCAGCTGCCTCCTGCACGCCCCCCACTGGGGATGTGCCCTCAGCCACCAAGGTCCATGCCCTTGACCGGGAATCGAACCCGGGACCCTTCCATCCGCAGGCCGACGCTCTACCCACTGAGCCACACCGGTTTCGGCGATATTTCTTCGTGGATCCCCGCCGACTGGCCGGCGCTGAGCTCCGCGGTGTGTGTGCCAGAAGTCTCTACTGGAACCAGCCCTCCCTGCGCAGGAAGCCCACGGCGTCCTCGAACCCGCGCTGGTGCAGGGCCTCCATGCCCGGCCGGCCGGGCGGGAACAGGGCCTGGCCGAGCCGCACCAGGTTGGCTGCGGACAGCTGGGAGGGAGGACGGAGGGGGGTGGGGCTGAGGGAGGGGCCGGGCGTGCGCTGTGTCTGTAAGCTGATGGCTAGCGATTCTGTCTAGTAAGGAGGGGGTGTGCGAATTGACTGTCACGCCACCGCCAAGATGGCAACGCCCACAGCCAATAAGGGGAGAGTATGCTAATTGACTGTCACGCCATCACAAAGATGGAGGCACCCACAGCCAATCAGGAGGGAATATGGTAATTGACTGCCACACCGTCACAAAGATGGCAGCACCAACAGCCAATAAGGGGGAGGATGCTAACTGACTGTTACACCATCGCAAAGATGGCAACGCCCACAGCCAATAAAGGGGAGTATACTAATTGACTGTCACGCCGTCGCAAAAGATGGTGGCACTTACAGTCAATAAGGAGAGGATATGCTAATTGACTGTCACGCCGTCGCAAAGATGGCAACACCCACAGCCAATAAGGGGGTATGCTAATTGACTGTCACGCCGTCGCAAAAGATGGTGGCACTTACAGTCAATAAGGAGAGGATATGCTAATTGACTGTCACGCCGTCGCAAAGATGGCAACACCCACAGCCAATAAGGGGGTATGCTAATTGACTGTCACGCCGTCGCAAAAGATGGTGGCACTTACAGCCAATAAGGAGAGGATATGCTAATTGCTGTCACACCATCGCAAAGATGGCAGCGCCCACAGCCAATCAGGAGGGAGTATGCTAATTGATTGTCACGCCGTCACAAAGATGGAGACACCCACAGCCAATCAGGAGGGAATATGCTAATTGACTGTCACGCCCTCACAAAGATGGCAGCACCCACAGCCAATCAGGGGGAAATATGGTAATTGACTGTCACGCTGTTGCAAAGATGGCAGCGCCCACAGCCAATCAGGAGGGAGTATGCTAATTGACTCATGCCCTCAAAGATGGTGGAACCCACACCAATAAGGGGGAGTATGCTAATTGACCCTCACGCCGTCACAAAGATGGCAGTGCCCACAGCCAATCAGGAGGGAGTATGCTAATTGACTGTCACGCCATCACAAAGATGGAGGCACCCACAGCCAATCAGGAGGGAATATGCTAATTGACTGCCACGCCGTCACAAAGATGGCAGTGCCCACAGCCAATCAGGAGGGAATATGGTAATTGACTGTCATGCCATAGCAAAAGATGGCAGCGCCCACAGCCAATCAGGAGGGACTATGCTAATTGTCACACCGTCGCAAAGATGGTGGTGCCCACAGCCAATAAGGAGGGAGTATGCAAATTGACTCATGCCCTCAAAGATGGTGGCGCCCACACCAATAAGGGGGAGTATGCTAATTGAGTGTCACGCCATCGCACAAAGATGGCGGTGCCCACAGCCAATCAGGAAGGATATGCTAATAGATGACCTGACTTCAAATATGGAAGCACCCGCAACTCATAAGGAGGGAATATGCTAATTGGCCCTCACGCCATCACAAAGATGGCGGCACCCACGGCCAATAAAGGGGAAATAGGCTAACTGACTGCCCTCGCTCACCTGGATGTGCTGGTTGGCCACGGCCACGTGGATACCCTCTGGCCCCCCGTCCTGCGGGCACACGTCGGGGCGGCCGCTGAAGGGCGAGATGGTCACGGTGCGGCCGGCGGGCAGCACGGGGAGGCTGTCGCTGAGCCCGCCGTCCACCCAGGTCTGCAGGGGGAGGAGCGCGGTCAGGCCCGGGCCGGCCACTCAGTCCCCAATGCCGGGCGCGTCCCCAAGGGCCTTCTCGTCGGGACAAGAACAAACATCTGTGCCCCCCGACCCCCTGGTTCCTACCGTGTTTCCCCGAAAATATATATTGTTTATTTTACTTTTACTTTTTATTTTTTTTAAATATATTTTATTGATTTTTTACAGAGAACAAAGGAGAGGGATAGAGAGCTAGAAATGTCGACGAGAGAGGAACATTGACCAACTGCCTCCTGCACGCCCCACAATGAGACTGTGTCTGCCACCAAGGTCCATGCCCCTGACCGGAATCGAACCCGGGACCCCTCAGTCCGCAGACTGACGCTCTATCCACTGAGCCACACCGGTTTCGGCAAAAATATATATATTTTTAAAAAGAAATTCTATAGACAGTAACCTCACAGGGTCATCGACACAAACAAAAGAGACCTATGCAAATTGGCCATACCTCCGCGACACCCACCAGCCAATCAGGAGCGGGTATGCAAATCGGCCCAACAAAGATGGCGGGCTCATTTGCATACGCCTGTGCTGATCAAAAGACTGAAGGCTGAAGAGGCCAGGGGTCCTGGGTCCCAGGGGAAAACCAGGGGCCGGCAGCCAGGGGAAGGAAGGTCCATTGTGCGAATCTACCATGTTTCCCCGGAAATGATGATGAGAGAGAATCGTGAACTGGCTGCCTGCTGCACGCCCCCTACTGGGGAATCAACCCTCCATCTAGGACTGATCGAATCGTGACCTCCTGGTTCCTAGGTCAACGCTCAGCCACCGAGCCACAGCGGCCGGGCTGGAGACAAGAATTTTTTGTCTGGAAAATCAGTAGAACCCCAACCCCCCAAAAAATCAATGCGATAGATTAAGAAACAAAAGGAGTAACGTGCCAACTGACCGTACCTCTGCGACGCTCACCGGCCAATCAGGAGCGAGTATGCAAATGGACCCAGCAAAGATGGCGGGCTCATTTGCATACCACCAGGAAGTGAAAATATGACACTGGGTTCTCTGGAGGGGATGTGACCTGGGGGAGGGGAGCCCGGTTGGGGATCGGAACGTACCTGTCCCTGGTATTCCACGGGCCGCAGGCCGGCGTAGAGGGGCACGAAGCTGCTGGCCAGAAGGACCTGTGGGAGAGAGCGGGGGCACAGCTCAGTCTCGGACAAGAGGCTGAGCGTGTGGCGATTTCCTACGGCATCCCATGTCGTCGTCGAGAAAAAAACGTCTTCAATGGCTCCGAGAGCTGAAACCGGGGTGGGTCAGTGGGTAGAGCATCCGCCTGCAGACGGAAAGGTCCCGGGTTCGATTCCGGTCAAAGGCATGGATCTTGGTGGCGAGCACATCCCAATTGTGGGGCGTGCAAGAGGCAATGGATGGATGTTTCTCTCTCAATGCTGTTTCTGACTCCATATCCCTCTCCCTTCCTCTCAGTTAAAAAAATCAATAAAATATATTAAAAATGGAATCTTTCTCTTTAAAAAATAAAAATTAAAAAAATAATATAAAAGAGATGCCCTAACTGGTTTGATTCAGTGGTTAGAGCATCGGCCTGCGGACTGAAGAGTCCCGGGTTCGATTCCGGTCAAGGGCATGGACCTTGGTTGCGGGCACATCCCCAGTGGGGGGCGTGCAGGAGGCAGTTGGTCCATGTTTTTCTCATCATCGACATTTCTAACTCTTTATCCCTCTCCCTTCCTCTCTGTAAAAGAAATCAATAAAATATATTAAGAAACAAAAAGAGCTACGTGCCAACTGACCGTACCTCTGCAACGCCCACTGGCCAATCGGGAGTGGGTATGCAAATGAACCCAGCAAAGATGGCGGGCTCATTTGCATACACAGGCACCGCCGAGCAGCTGGGGATGTGGCAGTGCTGCCTGCAGCCAGGGGGAGGAAGGCCCATTCTGGCACGAATCTTTGTGCACCGGGCCCCTAGTTAAAAAATTAAAAAAAAAAAAACCATACTGTGTTTCCCCAAAAATGAGACAGCCTCCGAAAATAAGACCTACGTACAGGTTTCCTTCTGAGTGAAATAGAAGGCGTCCCCCCGAAAATAAGGCCCCCCCCTAGGTTAACCATGAGAGATTTGATCCACTGATTCTGAGAGAAATGGAGTCATACGACATTCACGGGGAAACCCAGGCTGGGACGGTGAGGCTGAGGCTCCAGAAGAGGACGAGGACACGACGGCCATGGAATCCATGAGTCCGTTCTCGGTCCCGTAGGATCCCCGTGTGTCTGGTGTGTGCGGACCAGGACCGTCCTGCCGTACCGTCTGCAGGGAACCCGTGTCCTTTATGTCCATTGAACCATACGTGTGCGCCGTGTTCCACTTCATGGGAACATGAGACACATCCCCTGGACACAAGGCCTAGCGCCTCTTTGGGAGCAAAACATGAATATAAGACGCTGTCTTATTTTCGGGGAAACGGGGTAATACAGGGTCTTAGCCAACCTGCCAAGCATCAGCCACACCGGTTTCAGCTATTATTTATGTTATGGCTGCTCCAATGAACACGTGGCCAGGACCACACGGCACTGGGAGCCACGGGTGCGAGGGGCCGGGCGGGCCGACGCCTCCCAGGGAAACGTGTTACCTGGATGAGATCCTCGCGGGAGGAGAAGCTGGAGACCAGGACGTTCCGCCCGGTGCGGGCGCTGGTGAGCGAGACGTGCAGGCGGCCGTGGGCCAGGGCGTGGGCGTCAGGGGGCAGAATGGACTCCACGCCGCGTCTGGAGGGGGAGACGTGGCCCACACAGTTATTATTCTTATTTATGATTATTTTTTTAATATACATATTTTTTAATTTATTTTATTTTTTATAATGTTACGTGCAATAATCACTGATGTTTTGAGAAGGACTTTTACATATTTATCATATTAAATGTTCTGTGTATAATATTAAATACATAAATTTATTTTTTTTAAAAATATATATATATTTTAGTTTATTTACAGAGAGGAAGAGAGAGAGAGAGATAGAGAGTTAGAAACATCAATGAGCGAGAGACATCGATCAGCTGCCTCCCGCACGCCCCCCACTGGGGATGTACCCACCACCAAGGTCCATGCCCTTGACTGGAATCGAACCCGGGACCTTTACAGTCTGCAGGCCAAAGCTCTATCCACTGGGCCACACTGGCCAGGGCCTTTTCATTTATTTTAAATAGAATCGGTGGGCCCAGGCCAGTGTGGCTCAGTGCGTATCCCCTCAGCCTACAGACTGAAGAGTCCCGGGTTCGATTCCCGGTCCAGGGCACATTCCCAGGTAGCGGGTTCCATCCCCAGTTGGGGGGGCGTGCAGAAGGCAGCCGGTCTATGATTCTTACTCCTCGTGTATGTTTCTCTCTAGCTCCCTCTCCCTTCCTCTCTGACATTAACTAAAAATATATTAAAAATAAATATTTTATTGTTATAAAAACTATACTACTTTTTTGTTACAATGATAAATGTTTATAAGTTTATATACCATAATAAATTAAAATATAATGATTATAATATAATAAGTTATATTATACAATTTAATTTATTATAATATAATTATTATGTAATTATATTATATTACATTATATTATAATAAATTAAATTATATAATTATATTATATATGCTGTAGTTAAATATAATATAATATAATTAAATAAAATTGTATTTTATTATAATATATAATTATATTATATTATATATTAATAATTTATAATATAATTTATTATAATATATTGTATTCTATAATTTATCTATACTATATTGCATTGTAATTTATTAATATAACATTTTATTATAAATTAATAAATCATAATATAATTATAATATTTTATTATAATATATCATTATATTATATCATTATATTTTAATAATTTATGATATAATTTATCATAATATAGAATTGCATTACGTTATAATTTATTTCTAGTACATTACATTATGATTTATTACTGTGACGTCTGTATCACAGACTAATAAGTGACAACATAATGAAATGTACTCTAACATTATAAAATCACATTCTCTGGGGTCCGCACGCCCGTCCGTACCTCAGTCTGGCCATGAAATCGTACCCCGGGGTCAGGGCCCCCAACGGCTGCCTCCTCGTCTCCTCGGCGAAGTGGTGGGCGAACCGGCTGCAGTCCTGGATGGGATGGAACAGACTCGGATTTCTGTCCAGAGGCCCGTCTGCTTCCAGACAGTCACCCCCTCTGAGGCTTATGTCCCAAGAGCCTGGAGACACACACTGGGGAATGTGCCCTCAACCAAGGTCCATGCCCTTGACCGGAATCGCACCCGGGACCCTTCAGTCCGCAGGCCGACGCTCTATCCACTGAGCCACACCAGCTTCGGCAAAAGAAGGAGTTCTTACCATTGGCAGCCGCCTGGATGGAAGTGGAGAGCATCATGCTGAGTGACATGAGCCAGTCCATGAAAGAGAGACACCACACGACCTCACTCATTGGTGGATGATAAAGAACATGACAAACTGATGAACCAAAAGATAGATACAGCCGAGCCGAAACCTGTGTGGCTCAGTGGATAGAGCGTCGGCCTGCGGACGGAAAGGTCCCGGGTTCGATTCTGGTCAAGGGCATGGACCTTGGTGGGGGGCACATCCCCAGTGGGGGGCGTGCAGGAGGCAGCTGGTCGATGTTTCTCTCTCATCGACGTTTCTAGCTCTCTGTGTCCCTTCCTCTCTGTAAAAAAATCAATAAAATATATTAAGAAAAAAAAAAGATAGATACAGCCGAGCCGAAACCGGTGTGACTCAGTGGATAGAGCGCCGGCCTGCGGACAGAAGGGTCCCGGGTTCGATTCCCGGCCAAGGGCATGGACCTTGGTGGCGGGCACATCCCCAGTGGGGGGCGTGCAGGAGGCAGCTGGTCGATGTTTCTCTCTCATCGACGTTTCTAGCTCTCTATCTCTCTCCCTTCCTCTCTATAAAAAAAATCAATAAAATCTATAATTTTTAAAATGTTAAACGCTTTTCTGTCCCCCAGGCCGAGCAGGCAGCCAGCTGAGCCTGAGCCTCCGGCGAGGTGGCTGGCTTTACCCTGTTCCCCAAAATAAGCCAGCGTCTTCTATTCATGTTTGCTCCCAAAGAGGTGGTAGGCCTTGTGTCCAGGGGACGTGTCTCATGTTCCCATGAAGAGGAACACGGCGCACACGTATGGTTCCGTGCACATAAAGGACACGGGTTCCCTGCGGACGGTGCGGCAGGACGGTCCTGGTCCGCACACACCAGACACACGGGGATCCTACGGGACCGAGAACAGACTCATGGGTTCCATGGCCGTCGTGTCCTCGTCCTCTTCTGGAACCTCAGCCTCACCGTCCCAGCCTGGGTTTCCCGGTGAATGTCTGTGACTCCGTTTCTCTCAGGATCCGTGGACCCAGTCTCTCATGCTTAGCCTGGGGGGGGAGGCCTTATTTTCGGGGGGACGCCTTCTATATCCCTCAGAAGGAAGCCTGGATGTTACCTCTATTTTCTCGGGCGCTGTGAGCAGGACAGAAGCCACCAGGGACCCGGCCGAGGCCCCAGCAAAGGCCTGGACCTCCCGCAGCAGCCGCTGGCCGTGCTGGTGGAAGGCCGACGCTGCCCCCAAGTGGTAGGTGCCCAGGAAGCCGCAGGCTGCAAAGGACAGGTTGAGGATCTGCTTCATGGCACCTGCGAAACTGGCCCGAAAAAAACACTGTTAACGAAAAAACCATGGAAACCTGTAAAGAGTATATATATATATATATTATTGATTTTTTACAGAGAGGAAGAGAGAGGGATAGAGAGCTAGAAACGTCGAAGAGAGAGAAACATCAACCAGCTGCCTCTTGCACAGCCCCCACCTGGGGATGTGCCCGCCACCAAGGTCCATTCCCTTGACTGGAATTGAACCCGGGACCTTCCAGTCCGCAGGCCGACGCTCTATCCACTGAGCCAATCCAGCTGGATGTGCTTTTATTTATTTTATTTTATTTTTTTAATAAAGAAATATCCACTGAGCTAAACCGGTCTCGGCTGGTCTTTATTTCTTGACCTTTTTGTGTCACTTGGGAGTGGGGAGTGGGCGTTTGTGGGGGGTTGCTGTACTGCAGGGACCTTCAATCATGGGGCCCAGGCATGCGTCCATTGCAAATGTACTGATCAATTGCAAATAGTCAGTTGCAAATGCATCGGGAAAGTGCAAGTGCACCGGTCCATGGAACCACTGGAAATGCATCTGTCCATTGCAAAGGCATTGAACCATTGCAAATGCATTGATCCATAGCAAACACATCTGTCCACTGTAAATGCATTGATCCATTGCAAATGCATCGGTCCATTGCAAAGACAGAGCCCTGCTCCCTGCCCTCTCCTCTGCGTTTGGGGCACCCACGTTGTCTTCGGAGCAAACAAAACAAAACAGATGCTCGCCCGATTATGCAATCCCGCGATGAGATGGTTCACACACACACACACACACACACACACACACACACACACCCCAGGTTCTTTCTGAGGACGATCTGAGGTCGGGACTGAGGTCAGCAATGGCCCCCGCACCACGTGATGCCTGGAAGGCATCCAACTCTGAACCTGTCCCCCCACAACCTTGCTGTTCTGCTAGGACCCCACTTGGGGCTCAGGGACCCCAATGCCAGGGCCATCAGGCTGGGTCTCGTGGGGGACGCAGCTCGGCCTTTGCAGCTGAGCCTCAGGCTGCATTAGGAGGGGGTCCGGGATGGGGTGGCTCAGTGGCGAGGCGGCCAGACTGCGCATGCCCAGTGTGCACCCGCGGCCTGGAGGAGACGGGACCCCGCCGGCCGCCATGCCAGGCCCCGGGAGACAATAACAGCCCGCGAGGGGCCCCCAAGCAATGTCTGGGGGGCCGAAGGCCGCCTCCACCCGGCTCCGCCCTCACTCCGCCCCGCCTACCCATGCAGGCAAGCGGCACTTCCCTGTTGAACGCCCCGCCTCCCGCCCCGACCGGAAGGAGGGGCCAGGCCGTCAGTCAATGCGGCTCCGCCTATCCGTGCAGGCAAGCGGCACTTCCGTATTAAACGCCCCACCTCCCCGCCCTAACCGGAAGGCGGGGCTGAGCTGTCACTCAATGCGGCTCAGCCTATCCGTGCTCGCAAGCAGCACTTCCGTGTTGAGCGGTCCCTCCCCCTCCCCGCCTTAACCGGAAAGAAGGGCCGGGCCGTCACTCACAATACGGCTCCGCCTACCACGTGAGCCCTTCCAGGAAGACCCGCCTATCCGCTCGGCCCGTGACGTCACCAGGCCGACGCGAGGGTCCGCTGGGCCCCGCCTCCTCTATTTAAACGGCTGCACTCAGCATGGCGGCGCGCAGTGGGCCGCTGGACCCAAGGGCCCGCCCCCGAGTACGGCAACGGACCCGGCAGTCTCGTCCGGAGCCCCGAATCCTGCCGACGCTTTGGGGTGCGTTTCAGCCCCTGCGAGCCGTTTGCCGCCACCCGCGGGCAGGCCCTCCCTTCCGAGTCCGCCGACCCTGAACGACCCTCAGGTGCGGGGCCCCGGAAGTGCTTGGTCCTCTCTGCGTCTGCGCCCCGGAAGTGGTTATTCTCTCCCCCCCCTCCCCCCCCCCCCCCCCCCCCCGCCATCCCCAGCCTCGGGGCGGAAGTAGTTCTTCCCCGCTTCCCTTCCCCCACCCCACCCTCAGGGCCGAAGTAATTCTTCCCCCTTCCCCCCAGCCTCAGGGCGGTCCAGCTGCCCCTGTGGGCGGGCCCCAGGGCCGGACGAGGTGGTGTCTGTGGGGTTTCTGGGCGCCCATGGATGATTTTTATGGGATTGTATCGGGAAGGCCGGGCTGCGGCTTCGGAGAGCGGCCACTTCCTGGGTCAGCCGCATGCTGTGTGACCTCCGGCAGGTTGCACCACCTCTCTGAGCTCTGCAGGTGACTCCGCTGCAAAGCGGGAGGTGGGAGCGGAGTCGGACAGCCACAGGGTGGACAGACTTTGGAAGCAGCTTTGCAGGGTTAAATTTAGGACCTGACCCATCCTTTCACCCATAAACAACGCCTCCTTGCTTCACCCCAAAAAACGACCCGGCAGGAATCTCCCTCCAGCTTCCACGTGGAAGGTTCTCCAGTCCCTCCTGCACTCCCTTTTTAAAAAAAAAAAAAAAAAAAAAAAAAATCTTTTTTTTTTCAATTAGCTGACATGCATTAGTTTCAGATCTGCACCCCTGGGGTTAGACAGTATAAAACTGATCATCCCTCCAAAAAAATCTCATGCCCCTCCTACTACACATAGGTATTCTATGTAATAAAAGGCTCATATGCAAATGGTTCCCTCCACCTGGAGTTTGACCGGGAGTTCGACCAGCAGGCAGGCCGGCCAACTGCCCACATCCCCTCCCCCTGGCCAGGCTGGCGGCAACCCACCCATGCACAAATTTATGCACCGGGCCTCTAATCTATATATCTATATCTATATATCTATATATATATATCTATCAGCTATATCCATATCTATATATCTATCAGCTATATCTATGTGTCATCTCTATTTCTATATCTATATCTATATCTATATCTATATCTAAATCTATATCTATATCTATATCTATATCTATACATTGAGTGGCCAGATTATTATGATCTCTGGATGCATCATCATCTGGCTGTTCTGTCCGTCCTATAAAATAAAAGGCTAATATGCAAATGGTCCCCTCGACCGGGAGTCCGACCAGCAGGCAGGCCGGCCGACCACCCATGTCCCCGCCCCCTGGCCAGGCTGGCCGGACCCCACCCAGGCACGAATTCATGCACTGAGCCTCTAAAATAAATAAATAAATAAATAAATATATATATATATACACACACACACACACACACACACACGCACACACACACACACACACACTGAGTGGCCAGATGATTATGCGTTCAGAAATCATCATCTGGCCACTCTGTGTATATTATACTAGAGGCCCAGTGCACAGATTCGTGCACCCGTGGGGTCCCTCGGCCTGGCCTGGGGGGATCAGGCCGAAACCAGCTCTCTGACAACCCCCGAGGGGCCCCGGATGGCGAGAGGGTGCAGGCCAGGCCGAGAGGCCCCACCAGGGCACGTTCGGGGCCGGGGAGGGACGCAGGAGGTTGGCCAGCAGGGGAGGGTTCTGGTCTCGATTGGCTGGACTGCCCAGCAGCAAACAAACCTTTAGGTTGGACTATCTGCCCCCTGGTGGTCGGTGCACGTCATAGCAACTGGTCAAACGGTCAATCAATGAACGGTTGGACTCTTAGCATATTAGGCTTTTATTATATAGGATCTTATAAATGTATATGGAAACATGCAACAACAACAACAACAAAAAAAACTTTGGACACTTTGCACACAAAGTAGACAGTCGACAGAATTGTCATTTACGAATAGACACCTCTGAGATTCTATGCTAACCTATAGATATTCCTCTCTCGGCATCGGCACTAAATATCAAGCTATTTGCATTACAGAGAAGCAGTTTGAAAATGTAGCATTTATTGATAAGCCTCGGTTTAAAAAAAAAACACATATTTTATTGATTTTTTTTTTTACAGAGAGGAAGAGAGAGGGATAGGGAGAAAGATGGATGAGAGACAAGCTTCGATCAGCTGCCTCCTGCACGCCCCCTGCTGGGGATGTGCCCGCCGCCACCAAGGTCCATGCCCTTGACCGGGAGTCGAACCCGGGACCTTTCAGTCCGCAGGCTGACGCTCTATCCATGGTCGATGTTTCTCTCTCATCGACGTTTCTAACTCTCTGTCCCTCTCAATTCCTCTCTGTGTAAAATCAATAAAATATATTTTTTTTAAAAAAAGGATGACACGAATAGAACAGGATTCATAACCACTATATATATATATATATATATTTTTTTTTTTTTTTTTTTTTTTTCCTTGAGCCTCCTGCGGTAGGCACAACGTGAATAAGACAGACTGGTCGGCCGTATAACACCGTGAAATGGGCCAATAAATACACACTTAGGGAAAGGCAAAAAGCAAAAACAATAAAAATTTTTTTAAAAATCCAGACACAGAACATTTGCTCAGGATATTTATTTCCCGTCATTTCTCAGCGGAAGAGGGGACAACCCAGGACCCTGGTCAGGGTGCTTTCAACTGTGTGGGGTTGAACATCCATGTATGAACCAGGAGGTCACGGGTTCGATTCCCGGTCAAGGGCACAGGCCTGGGGTTGTGGGCTCTATCCCCAGGCGGGGGCGTGCAGGAGGCAGCCGACCCATGATTCTCTCTCCCTCTCCCTTTCTCTCTGAAACCAATCCTAGCTGAAACCGGTGTGGCTCAGTGGATAGAGCGTCGGCCTGCGGAGTGAAGGGTCCCGGGTTCGATTCCCGGTCAAGGGCATGGACCTTGGTGGCGGGCACATCCCCAGTGGGGGGCGTGCAGGAGGCAGCTGATCGATGATTCCCTCTCATGGATGTTTCTAACTCTCTATCCCTCTCTCTTCCTCTCTGTAATAAAAATCAATAATATATATATGCATGTATATATGTATATATGTGTGTGTGTGTGTGTGTGTGTGTGTGTGTGTGTATAACAAAAACTACAGAACCTGTCTTTTCTGTTTAGAAAATATGCTGATCACGCCCCACATCTTTAGGAAAATCTCTTTTCTCCCCACGTGAAGCGACATATTGATTTTTAAAATAACCGTGGAGAGT